GATCAACTTTACTGGGGAAGAAAGGGAGCAAGCCTGTTAAAGCAATTTTCCTGCCTCAGTCTCCCGGTAGCTAGAATTACAGGCGCCCACCACCACACCCGACTAATTTTTGTATTTTTAGTAGACACGAGGTTTCACCGTATTGGCCAGGCTGGTCTCAAACTCCCGACCTCAGGTGATCCTTCCACCTCGGCCTCCGTAAGTGCTGGGATTCCAGGTGTGAGCCACCATGCTCAGCCTAGTTCAGTTCTCTTTGAACACTGGGGTGTGTAGCATACTCCGGTGGTTCTTTCCTAAGAGGACGAAGTCTGCCAATCAAACCCCCAAGGATCTGGAAACCATGCAGCAGTGGACTCAGCTCCCTCCTTTGTAGCAGTCCTAGAACACTTCTGTCCTATGTGTCTGGATGTTTGAGCTCTCTTGTCTAGCTTGTTCATTTCCCAGTGGGGAAGCTGAGGCGGTAAGGAGGTCAAGTTCTGCTTGTTGGAGGCTCCCTGTGCAGCTGGGGGAGTTGCACTGGCAGAGCTGCGTCCCAGTAAGTTCCCGTCTGTGAGAATGAGCTGTTGGTGGGGTTGTGTGGGGGAGAGTAAGGTAATGCTCTCCATCAGCTGTAGCCTAGTCCTTCACAGGATTGCCTGGCTGGCCACACTTCTTAGAAACTAATTGCCTGTTCTCTAAATGCTGGAACATTCAGGAAGTTCTTCAGTGGGCTTATGAGAAATAACAAAGCTAAAAGCCTGTCCAACCCAATGGGGCTGAGTCTGTGGATTTTTCTTTGCAGAGTTTATAGAGCGGCAGCACGCAAAGAACAGGTATTACTACTACCACCGGCAGTACCGCCGCGTGCCAGACATCACGGAGTGCAAGGAGAACGATGTCTTGTGCATGTATGAAGCCGAGATGCAGTGGAGGAGGGACTAGTACGTAAACTGGGAGTGTGACCTGCACCATGTGTGCTGCCGGGCCAGGGGTCCCTGGGATGCCACGGGGTGGCCTCAGCCACCCAAAATATGTCCAGATCTCAGGGGTGACATGGGAGGAGTCAGACCCCAAGATCTTACTTTCAACTTTTCTTCTTGGGTACAGAGAAAGGATTCTTTGTGAATAGCCTCTCTTGCTCCCTTTCTTCCCCAGTAAAGTTGATCAAGAAATTGTCAACATCATCCAGGAACGGCTCAAGGCCTGTCAGCAGAGGGAGGGACAAAACTACAAGCAGAACTGTACCAAGGAAGTGGAGCTGTTCACCCAGGTGGCCAAGGCCTACCAGGATCGCTGTGAGTGACCCCCCTCCTTCTGTGGTCAGTGTCACTGCCCAAGGCCTCCCGAGGCCGGGGGCCAGAGCCACTGCAAATCCAGCCCTCTCCCTTCTGCCCACTTGAATTTGCTCCATTTGCATATAGCACAGGCCTGGGTTCCCAGCTTGTTTCCATTGCTTTCCCAGATCAGGACCTGGGGGGCTACGGTTCTGCCAGGAAATGTCTGGCCAAACAGAAGCAGAGAATGCTGGAAGAGAGAAAAGCTGCAAAAGCAGCCGCTGCTGCCACCTCCTGAGGCAGCTGTGGGTGCCCCGCGATGCGGCTCTGTATGATTGCGCTATTGCTGAAATAAAGCCCCTCAACATATTTCTAGTATGATCTCTTGGTCCCACCTTCCGGATTCAAACCACCACTAAACATGCAGGACACAGGAAAAATGCAATGTTAATTCACTTTATTTTTCTTGTATAAAAACCCTATGTTGTAGCCACAGCTGGAGCTTGGGTCCTCTGCACAGAGACTCTGGTGTGGGTCTTGACGAGGTGGTCCGTGAATTCCTAAAACATAAGACATGACCTTGTTGGGGCCTGTGCTTGTCTAGGCAGTGGCCAGCCCCACCCCGCCCCACCAGGCAGTACCTGATAGGGAGACTTGGTGAATACAGTCTCCTTCCACAGATCGGGGGTCAGGTAGCTGTAAGTCTTAGAGATGGCATCAAACGTGGCCTTGGCTGGACAACAAAAGAACCCCAGGAAGATCAGTGGTATGCTTGGGGCAAGACCCCTAACCCAAAAATTGTCACACTCCTAGGAACAGAGAGGCCATTCTGGGCAGGTCTGTCGTGCATTAGGAGAGCCTTTCTCTGCCTCCCTGAAAACACGCCAAGCACACACTGGACCCGTGTGATTAAGCGGAGCTGAGAGGCTTTGACTATGCCCATGTGTGGGTCACCTACCGAAGTTGCCCAAGGTAGCAGTGCAGCCCCTAGCTGAGGTGTAGCAGTCATCGATACCAGCCATCATAAGCAGCTTCTTGGGCACAGGTGCTGAGACAATGCCAGTGCCCCTGGGCGCAGGGATGAGGCGCACCAGCACAGAGCCACAGCGGCCTGTCACCTGGTAAGGGCAGGAGTCAGGAGACAAGGGCCCGAGGGAGCCTGCCCCATGGCAGGCCCACCACCTCCCACCAGCCTACCTTGCAAGGGACTGTATGAGGCTTGCCGATCTTGTTCCCCCAGTAGCCTCTGCGCACGGGGACAATGGAGAGCTTGGCCAGGATGATGGCTCCACGGATGGCAGTGGCCACCTCTTTGGAACACTTAACACCCAGACCGACGTGACCATTGTAGTCCCCAATAGCAACAAATGCCTGTGAAGAGACGTGTATGAGGCGGCTGGTGGCCCTACACCCATCATTGCCCACACCCCAAGGCATGTTGGGCCCCTCAAGTAACGAGAGGCCACAGTAAGGCCCATCTGAGGTCCTGAGGAGATCTTTTCTCTCTCTCCCCATTACGAAAGTCACACGGGTGAAGCCAAGTGCAACTACGCAGAGCTGGGAGAGGCCCGGGAAGCCAAGTCCAGTCCAGCCCAGCCCTCTCCAGGACAGCTGAGTACCTTGAACCTGGTGCGCTGGCCTGCCCGGGTCTGCTTCTGCACCGGCATAATCTTCAAAACCTCATCCTTGAGAGAGGCCCCCAAGAAAAAGTCAATGATCTCAGATTCCTGCAACAAACAAGAAAATTGTGGAGAGCACCTCAAAGAAAAATCCAACATCATTATCCCATTTAAGAACCAAAGTCACAGCCAGGTGCAGTGGCTCACGCCTGTAATCCCAGCTAGTCGAGAGGCTGAGGTTGGGGTGACCAGAGATCACACCACTGCACTCCAGCCTAGACAAGGCAAGACTCTGCCTCACCCAAAAAAAAAAAAAAGGACCCAAGTCATGAACCCTCAACTTAGGTTCCTTCCCCAGTTTTTCCTCTCCCCTTGGTTCTGCCAGTTTTAATGGAAACTTATATATATACCAATTTGCTAACCCTTATGTCCTCCCACAACCCGAATGTCACCCTCTTGGATGGCATGAACCGAACACTTTCTCTGCTCTTCGGCAACGGGGGAAACAATCTCGCAGCGAATGTGAGAAAATGCGCTGAAACACCTTTTGCGGCTCTTGCTTCGCTCAGATAGCTATCCAGCCTTTTTTCTCCAACCGGAATTCTCTCCTCAGCCAGCTCACAACACAACCTCAACCTCTCAAACGAGACGCTGGGCCCTTTAATGCGGGTCAATGGCAGATGTCAACCCTCCAACCCCAGCCGACTCCGGGGTCGCCTTTCCTCAACGCCCGAACGACCGACGAGTACCTTGATGGGCAGAGAGAAGAGATAGATCTCCTCCAGAGATTTAATCTTCATGTCTCTGACCAGGCGGCCCAACTTGGTGACAGGCATCCACTGGAAACAGAAAAGGCGCGGGTGACCAGGGCCGCTCCCCGGCGTCGCCCAAGGGCCCGATCCCGCGCGTAACTAGTACCTACCTCCTTATCCTCGGCTTTGCCTCCGCGAGCTCCGCGGCCTCGGCCCCGGCCCCGTCCACGGCCGCGACCCCGGCCCCGGATACCACTGCCGAAACCTCCGCGGAAGCCACCGCGGTTCCCCATCCCAGGGCCCCCGGGGCCTCCAGGCCCCCCCGCTGCACCGGCGTCATCCGCCATTTGCTGGAGAGAAAACAGCAAGAACCAGTTAAGTGAAACTCTGTCGTCTAGCAGACGCCCGCGAGACCCAGAAGGGTGCTCCCGCCCAGGAGCGCAATCGCGGGAGACTAGACCGGATCCGATGTCCACGGATTCCCGCCGCCCACGCCGAGGCCTACAGCAGCAAATTTGATCACTCACGTGTTTTATCGGAGAAGAAGAGCAAGGCCTGCTGGGAGGCAGCTTTTATACCAAGCCAAGCCCCGCGCGATCTCCGCTGCCCCGCCCCAGACGGGAGCGCGACGAACTCCCATAAGACAGCCTGTGATTGGCTCCGTGGTGCCCCGCCCCCGCCGCGCTCTGCGTGCGCCTGCACGTCTGGCGCTAGCCGCGGCCCGGGAAAGCTACGTCACCGGAAAGGCGGCTGTAAACGTTCGTGTGTCGGGTTCGCGAGTCTCGCACCTTGGGTAAGTCCTGCTGTGTGTGCTGTTCGCGTCCCCCTGGTAGTTGGGGAGTACGGCGTTGGTTGAAAATCACCCCCGGCTTTGGCCGTGGCCGCGGGTGAGATTCGGCGCCTAGATCCTCCAGGGGCCTCAGCTCACCACGCGCTGCCCTGTGTGCGGCGGTGAAACCCAGGCCCCGACAGGCGCCGCGGCCTCCGCCCGGACGCCGTCGCTCGCGAGGTCTGGCCCTGGCCACCGACCCTTAGCCGTGTCTTCTCTCTGCAGGACACTAGTTCTCCCACGCCTGAGACCGACGTCGCCAGGACTGTGGGGTCGGGGAGACTCGGCTGGAAACGTCTTCCAAATAAAGTTGTTTGTCTAACTGCGTGTGGGTGTTCTTGGAGCCCCGTCCCCCCTATCAGCCTGGCAAGTGCATCTGTTCATGCTGTGTTGGGGAGAACCCTAGCGAGATGCCATCTCAGCTCTACTTGGACACAAGGATAGGATGGAGGAGGTTGGCAGGTGACGCTTAAGGTCGGACACTTTTTTTTTTTTTTTTTTTTTTTGAGACAGAGTTTCACTCATGTTACCCAGGCTGGAGTGCAATGGCGCGATCTCGGCTCACCGCAACCTCCGCCTCCTGGGTTCAGGCAATTCTCCTGCCTCAGCCTCCTGAGTAGCTGAGATTACAGGCACGCGCCACCATGCCCAGGTGATTTTTTGTATTTTTAGTAGAGACAGGGTTTCACCATGTTGACCAGGATGGTCAAGATCTCTTGACCTTGTGATCCACCGGTCTTGGCCTCCCAAAGTGCTGGGATTACAGGCGTGAGCCACCGCACCCGGCCTGGTCGGACACTTCTTAAGTGGCAGAGCCATGTTGGCAACAGTCATCTGGCCAAGCACACCTCAGGTAAATGCTACACTCGCAGGTAAAGTGCCCTGGCCTACGTAAGGGGTACTAGGTGGGGCCAACAGCGCTAGCAAATGTGGGAAGCTCAGACTTGAGTGGCTGCTTTGTGAGACCAGGTGAGATTCTAAAGGATTTGACCAACTAGGCCTAGATAAACGCAACGCTCCAAGGGTGCGAGGCTGCAGTGGGTCAGAAACCTGGTTTGGGAGGCTGGGCCCCTTGCTCTGGTGCAGCAGGTCACCCAAGAGTTTAGTTCTCTTTGCCCTGGAGCTACCACCTGAGTATTGGATCCTAAATGAAGACCTCCAGTGGGTCAGTGCCCAAAGCCCCTAAGCTCTAGGAGAAGAAGGTAGCAATCCCTATGATCCCACTGAAGCCTTGGCCTTGGGGAAATAGCTCCATGAAGCTTGGTTCTGACTCAGTGCTTCTGAGGATCAGCTGTCAGCTGCCTTCAAGCTCCGGGGGCTCCATTGACCTGTCCAAGGTCAGGAGCTGCCCTGCTGCCCTACTCCTTCCCTGTGACTTTTTTTCTGTTTTTGAGACAGAGTCTCACTCTGTCACCCAGGCTGGAGTGCAGTGGCACGATGTCAGCTCACTGCAACCTCTGCCTCCTGGGTTCAAGCAATTCTGCCTCAGTCTCCCAAGTAGCTAGAATTATAAGCGCCTGCTACCTTGCCTGGCTAATTTTTTTGTATTTTTAGTAGAGATGGGGTTTCATCATGTTGGCCAAGCTGGTTTCGAACTCCTGACCTCAAGTGATCCACCCACCTCAGCCTCCCAAAGTGTTAGGATTACAGGGGTGAGCCACTGCACCCAGCCCTGTGACTTGTTTTTTTTAAAGAGGTGGGGGTCTCACTGTTGCGCAGGCTGGTCTCCTGGGCTCAAGTGATCCTCCTACCTTGGCCTCCTAAACTGCTGGGATTACAGGTGTGAGCCACTATGCCTGGCTATCTGTGATCGTTGCTGGGCTGTGCAGGTTTTCTGGGCCCTGAACCAGTTTTGTGATTGGCTTGAGCTGGACAATGCCATTGTGATGTCAGCCCACACCCACTGTTAAATACAAGCTCCTGAGCCCTGGGGGCCTGTGGCGCTGCTGTCTAGTCACAGATCATGGTGAGCCTGGGGCCCTCTTGCCTTCAGCCCTGAGACTCCAGAAACATGCCCAGTTGTCCAGGGATCGACCCCACTCCACTCGGAAAGGGTGGGCAATGAGTTGCAGGCCCCATATGCTACAAGGAAACCTGGAAGGCTCTGGCTAGGTCTAATTCCAGGCTAAAGCCACTGTCTCCAGCAAGGAATTAGTCCTGGGATGGGGGCTCTAACCCCCACAGCTGCCCCCTCAAAGTGGGTGCTGAGCCAACCCCTCTACTTGAAGTTCTCCTGTGGCCCACCTCCCCACCCAAAGTTTTCTGGGCTCTCTTGCTGGATATGTGGACCAGGGACTGGATCACTTTCCCAGCCAGGTCCTGACACCAGCTTGACCTTTGCAGAGTGGCGGGTATGATCTCAACCTCTTCACCAGCCCTCCTGACTCCAACTTCCTGTGCACCGTCTGCCATGGGGTTCTCAAGAGGCCAGCGAGGTTGCCATGCAGCCACATCTTCTGCAAAAAGTGCATCCTCCAGTGGCTAACCAGGTGTCACCGGGTACCCACGGGGCTGGGAGGGCAGCAGGGAGACTGGGCACTGCTGTGGCCCACAACAGAGGGGAAAGTCAGCCAGAAGACTCAGCCACCAAATCTCCCTAAACTAAAACGTGTGCCCCTCTCTCGGTGTCTGCAGACCCCTGCCCCAGCCTCATAGCTGACAGCTCCCTGTAGTATGCCATGATGCCTCCTCCAGCTGATGAAGGGACCACCTGGGTCACCGAGTGAAGGGCTGACCAGGGTTCCCTTCCCATTCCCAACACTCACCCCGCCTCATGCCTCTTTCCAGACAAAAGACCTGTCCGTGCTGCAGGAAACCGGTGAAAAGGAGAAAGATCATCCACGAGAATAAACTCCGGAAAACCATTAGCCGCCTGGAAGTCAAGGTAGCTCAAAGGACCCACTCCCTTGACCCTCTACCCTTCTCACCCTCGTAGGGGTGGGGCAGGGCCAGGAGAGGGAGTAAGGAGAACTCCCATCTTCAGAGAGAAATTAGTACAGACTTGGGTGATTAGACATGGCTGAGTTTGAGTCGTGGCTCTACCGCTTAGTTGCTGTGTGACTTTAAGCAAGTCACCTAACCTTTCCGATCCCCTGGGGTCTCAGCTGTAAAATGTAGATTGTAAAGGATTTTTAGAGGATGAAGTGCCTGGTGTGCTGGCCACTACTCTCTAGCCCTCTAGTTTTATAGATGGGTAAACTGAGGTTAAAAAGGAAAACCTGAGATGGGCATGGGTGGCTCATGCCTGTAATCCCAGCATTTTGGGAGGCTGAGGCAGGTGGATCACGAGTTCAAGACTAGCCTGGACAATATGGTGAAACCCTGTTTCTACTCACACAATACAAAAATTAGCCAGGCATGGTGGCACACGCCTATAAGCCCAGCTACTTGGGAGTCTGAGGCAGGAGAATCGCTTGAACCAGAGAGGCTGCAGTGAGCCGAGATCATGCCATTGCACTCCAGCCTGGGCAACAAAATGAGACTCCATCTCTGTCAGGGGCAGGGGAGAAGCCTGGCATCCATACCACTCGCCAGACCAACCCAGTTGTGGACCTTCCAGTTCCCCAAGCGTCAGGCCGCACCCCCTCCCCTGGAATGTCTACCTTCTTCCCACTTCCATGCATTTGGCCCATGTTCTCTCTCCACCACCTCACTGGAGTTAGAAAAGTGTGGGAGGCTCTCGGTTCCCTGGTTCCTGGTGAGTGGAAAGCCACGGACGGGGGATTCTGTGAGTGTCCTGCCTGGGTGGCTTCACATGTGTTCTCCTTCACCCTCAGTGCAAGAACGCCGATGCCGGCTGCATGGTGACATGCCCCCTGGCCCATCGAAAAGGGCACCAGGATTCGTGCCCCTTCGAGCCAATGGCCTGCCCTAACGAAGGCTGCACCTCAAGGGTCCCGCGTGGGGCCCTGGCTGAGCACCGGAAGCATTGCCAGCAAAGGGCCCAGCAGCGCTGCTCCCTGGGCTGTGGGGCCACCCTGGACCCAACCAAGCATGTTCACCACAACTGCTACCGCGAGTTGCACAACGCCTGGAGCGCGCGCCAGGAGCGCAGTCGGACCCTGCTGCTGTGCCTGCTGAGGCGTGTGCGCCGGCTGCACCGGGCCACCAGCATTGTCCGCCGAGAGCTGGCGGAGCTGGGCAACTTCCTGGAGGAAGACACCGCTCTACTGGAGGGCACCCCACGGGAGGAGGCCGAGGCCGAGGCTGTCCCAGAAGGCAGCTTCTGGGCTGAGGTGGGGGGGTGCTCAGGGCCAAGGTACCTTGTAAATAAATAAACGCAGAGCCCAGACCTGGTCCACCTCTGTGCCTGCAGGCCTCACAACCGTCACCTGTGCCCCTCACAGCTGTCACCTGTGCATCCTTGTTGCCCTTTCCAGGCATGACTCCCTTCCTCCCAGGGATACTCTGGGCTTTCTCCATGGGCTCTGTGTTCTGTCACACCAGTGGGCTTGGCCTGGCTATTCCCCCTGCCTGGAGAGCTCTTCCCTTCGCCTCCATTTGCCTGCTTTCATCTTTGTTGTTGTTGTTTTTTTTGTTTTTTTTTTTTTTTTTTTTTTTTGATTTGGAGTCTCTGTCGCCAGGCTGGAGTGCAGTGGCACAATCTCGGCTCACTGCAACCTCCATCTCCTGGGTTCAAGCGATTCTTCTGCCTCAGCCACCTGAGTAGCTGGAACTAGAAGCACATACCACCATGTCCAGCTAATTTTTCTGTTTTTAGTAGATAGGGTTTCGCCATGTTGGCCAGGATGGTCTCAATCTCTTGACCTCGTGTTCCACCCGCCTCGGCCTCCTAAAGTGCTGGGATTACAGACTGGGATTTTAAAGTAAGGGGGCCGGGCACGGTGGCTCACCCCTGTAATCCCAGCAGTTTGGGAGGCAGAGGCAGGTGTATCACCAACCTGACCAACATGGCGAAACCCTGTCTCTACTGAAAATACAAAACTTAGCTGGGCATGGTGGCACAAGCCTGTAGTCCCAGTTACTCAGGAAGCTGAGACAGGAGAACCACTTGAACCTGGGAGGTGGAGGTTGCAGTGAACCAAGATTGAGCCACTTCACTCCAGCCTGGGCAACAAGAGTGAGACTTCATCTCATAAAAATAAATAAAGGAAACACAAGAATGGCTACTCCATAGACAGAACAGCCTTTTCTTCTTGTTTTCTTTTTTGGGTCCGGATCTTGCTCTAGCGCCCAGGCTGGAGTGTAGTGCTGTGATCATGGCTCACTGCAGCCTCAACCTCCCTGGGCTCAAGTAATCCTCCCACCTCAGCCTCCTGAGTAGCTGGGACTACAGGCGCACACCACCACTGCCGGATAATTTTTGTGTTTGTTGTAGAAATGAGATCTCACTGTGTTATCCAGGCTGATCTCAAACTCCTGGGCTCAAGTAATCCTCCTGCCTCTGCTCCCCAAAATGTTGGGATTAGAGGTGTGAGCCACCACGCTGGCCTGCTTTACGTCACTCAAATGTCTCCTCAGAGCTTTTCCTTGATCATCCTCTCAGTTCTCCTTCCCAGTTACTTTTGGTTTCTCTTTCTTTTTTGTTGTTTTTTTGAGATAAGGTCTCTTGTCGCCCAGGCTGGAGTGCAGAGGCCTGATCACAGCTCAGTACATCCGCTCACCTCAGCCTCTGGAGAAGCTGGAACAACAGGCGCACCACCGCCCCGCCTAAATTGTGTGTGTGTGTGTGTGTAAGTGTGTGTAGAGACGGGGTCTTGTCATGATGCCCAGACGGGCCCAGTTACTTTCTTTTTTTTTTTTTTTCCTAAGACAGACTTCCTGAGACCTTTTTTTCTTTTTTTTGAGACAGAGTCTTGCTCTGTCATCCAGGCTGGAGTGCAGTGGCGTTGTGATCTCGGCTCACTGCAACCTCCACCTCCCGGGGTCAAATAATTCTCCTGCCTTAGCCTCTCAAGTAGCTGGGATTACAGACTCCTGCCACCACGCCCAGCTAATTTTTGTACTTTTAGTAGAGACAGGGTTTCACCGTGTTGGCCAGACTGGTCTCGAACACCTGACCTCATGATCTGCCTGCCTCAGCCTCCCAAAGTGCTGGGATTACAGGAGTGAGCCACTGCACCCAGCCTGGCCCAGTTACTTTCTAGCAGACTGTTCTACCAGCTTCACAGCCAGTAGTAGCACAAATGGCTCAAAATCGTGAATTCAGAGTAAAAGCCAACTCCTCCCCACGGCTCACAGGCAAACGGCATGGCTTCTGCCTCTGCACCCACTCCCTGCAGCCACCCGGCTTGCTGCTACTCAACGCCTGACACCACCAGCCCAGGGCCTCAGCACCATTCGTTCCCAAGGTCACCACAGGGCTCCCTGCTTCACGAACTTACGTCTGCTCAGGTGTCACCTCAATACAGCCTCCTCTGGGGTCCCCTCCACTCCATCCCTTCTGTTTTTTTCCACAGCGCTCAGCAACTATCACTCTTATCCCGTTTAGTTTCTTATCTGCTGTTCCCCAAGTGCTAAGAACAGTGCTTTGCACACAGAAGGTGCTCAATATATGAATGCCTTTGAGATTACACGGTTTATTCATTTTCCTGTGTTATTTATCATAAGCCACACTGCAAATCCCGAGGCAGGGTCAGGTTCACCGCTCTAGGCTTGGACCCCACCCGACTGCTGCTGCCCCAATTCCCAGAATGCCAAAGGGCAGGAGTAAACGCTGGCTACGGTGGCTCAAGCCTGTAATCCCAGCACTTTGGGAGGCCGAGGCGGGTGGATCACGAGGTCAAGAGATCGAGACCATCCTGGTCAACATGGTGAAACCCCGTCTCTACTAAAAACTACAAAAAATTAGCTGGGCATGGTGGCGCGTGCCTGTAGTCCCAGCTACTCAGGAGGCTGAGGCAGGAGAATTGCCTGAACCCAGGAGGCGGAGGTTGCGGTGAGCCGAGATCGCGCCATTGCACTCCAGCCTGGGTAACAAGAGCGAAACTCCGTCTCAAAAAAAAAAAAAAAAAAAAAAAAAGAATGCCTTTTTATACTGCTATCAAAAGGCCAGGCTGGCCAGGCGCGGTAGCTCTCGCCAGTAATCCCAGCACTTTGGGAGGACAAGGCGGGCGGATCAGCCGAGGTTGGGAGTTCAAGACCATCCTGGCCAACATGGTGAAACCCGTCTTTAAAAAAAAAAAAACAGGCCAGGCTACGGCGCTGTCACCCACGCCTGGTTACCCCGACCTGCCCGCGCTGCACCGTCACGGCTCACCGCCCACCCTCCAGGCCGGAAACACCTCCGCCCGCTTCCACTTCCGGATGCAGCCGCCACTGCCTGCAGCAAAGATGGCGACAAGCGCGTTTCACCGGTGACGTCACAGTGGTCGCGCGTGGTGACGCCATCGCAGCGCGCCGGGAGTTAGGAGCACTGTGCCAACCTCACTCTTCACGCGGTGGAAGCTGCCGGGGTTCTAGCTGGTATCGGCGGGAGCGGCAGCCGCAACATGGCAGAGACCGCGGCCGGAGTGGGCCGCTTCAAGGCCAAGTGAGCTCGGAGCGCTGGGGCCACGCGGGGAGGGAGCCAGGTTCGCAGCAGGCGTAGCGGAGGCGCGCTTGCAGTGGGCGTCCATTGGGGTCTGGGAGGGGAGAGGCTATGTGTGCGCGGGCTCGCGGGGTCGCGGAGGCTGCGATGATACCAGGTGGGAGAGCAGGCCCCGACTGCTCTCGGGGAGGACAGGGACCTAAGCCCGGGCGCAGCAGCGTGGGCTCAACGAGAAGCCGGCTGTGGGGTGAAGCGGGGACCAGAAGTCCGGATGAGGGGAGGGGAGGGCTGAGCGTAGGTCGGGACTGGTCCTGGCAAACGGCGGGAGACGAAGAACCACCTCTAAGCAGTCGGCCTGGGGACTTACCACCCGCGAACCCTCTTCTTCAGGGAGCAGGGAGACAGCAGGAGAGGGGCAAGTCTGCAGAAGCACAGGAGGCCCTCAGTCCTGTGCCCTGTCACTCCCCAAGCCTTTTCTGAACAGCACTGCTGGTGCCCCCGCCCTGGCAGCGCAGTCTCATGGGATTATCATTTCCATCGGCGGCTGTGGGGCTTTGGTTGTGCCAAGCACTGGTAAAGGAAAGTCCCTGGCTGGCAGCACCACCGTGGGAGGGTCGACTGGGTTCAGGGGCTGAGGGTTGCTTTCGTCTTGGCAGTCAAGATTCCAGAAGTGCACTGAGCCAGGCCCTGACATCTGGGAAGGGAAGCCCAGGCCGCACACAGGGGACAGGGGGAAGATAGGAAACCTGTCCCAGGGACTGGGAAAGGAACCATGGTGGGCCACGAGAGGGAAGGGAAGCAGAGGCAAGGTTCTTGGAAGCCCTTCTGGAGAGGGTCTGGGAGGTGTGTGGACAGAGTGAGGGTCTGACGTGGGGCAGTGACGTCTTCAGTTATGTTCCGAAAGGCACCTAGCAGCAGGGTTAAGACGTAGGTAGGGAGCCCAGTGAAGTGGCCAGAGATTGTGATGGTCTGGACCAGGTGGAGGCAGTGGAGAGGGAAGGAGGAGGGGCAGGGTGAGGTCACAGAAATGACAGCTGCTAATGGGACCTGGGCTCTGGGTAGGCCTGGGGACAGAGGGAGGAGCCAGAGAGGGGAAGAGGTATACCAGATCTCAGGGATGAAGACGCTGGGAGGTTGTGCTCTGGGCTGCTACCCAGGCTTGGCTACCCACTGCCAGCAGGGGTTGCCCCAGGGACTCACCTGGCTCTCGCTGAGGAATCCCTGGGAGCCCTGGAATGTTGGGCTGCCTCTGCCTGACGCAGGCCCACCCCCTACTGCCTCAGGGATCACCAGTGAGCTCTGAGTCTCTGCTTCTCAGTGACTTGGGAGTGGCAATAGCCCCCTGCAGTGCTGCTGGTTCCAACCCCTGCCCCGTCCCTGCTGTTGCCCTGAAACTCAAGGGCACGGGCCATTGTGGTCACCTCAAGAGGAACACCCAGCACAGGACGGGACCCTAGGGATCGAGGGGGTGGGTGGCGCTCACTCCCTCCCACTTTTCTTCTAGCTATGTTGTGGAGCGCAAAATCGAACCTTTCTACAAGGGTGGAAAAGCACAGGTATAGGTCTGGGGAAGGGTTGGGGGTGGGCAGCTGGAGGCTGCAGGGAGTGCCAAATGTTGCCTGGCTGAGACCCCTTTGTCCCCAGCTGGACCAGACTGGCCAGCACCTCTTCTGCGTCTGTGGCACCAGAGTCAACATTCTGGAGGTGGCCTCAGGGGCCGTGCTGCAGAGTCTGGAGCAGGTGAGGGCAACCTGAGTGGGTGAGGGGCAAGTGGCAGGGCCAGC